AGGGTGGCTGCCGTTCTGTCCTTCCCGGCCACACCGAGACCTCACGGGGTTGGCAAGAGAGAGGCCGAGGCTCCAGCCGGCTGCCAGAGGAAGGCAGGGCAGGAACCCCCGATCCTCCCGGAGCTGTTTTCCAATATGCTGGGGACCATGACGATCACAGGTAAGGCGCGCCAGACCTGCTTTTCCTCCCTTCTCTTGCGCATTGGGCGGGCGGGGTGCTCCAGGCAGGGCTGAGAGCCTGATGCGGGCTCTGCGCGCTGACTTTCTAACTCTTTTTTAAAGAGTATCTCAGGTCCAACTGGAACCAAACGAACCTAGGGCTCTTTTCCTGCCTAAGCAGAAATCTTCCTGTCAGTGTGCATGGGAGACTAAGGAGGGATTTTTGCTTCGGGTTGCGCACCCTTTCCCCTTGGGGAGGCGAGAGGTGGAGGGAACTGAAAAGAAAAAGTAACTTTTGTGAATTTGAAAATAAGTTGTTACACTTATCTTCTGCCAATGTCATCAACAAAATAAGTTCTTATTTCTGAGGAGTTGCTGGTCTTTGGCCTCTTGGTTTGTTAGGAACTTTTGATAACAGTGCGCTTAGTGGTGGAGACTGACGCTTTAGCTGTCCGTGGTGGTATTTTAAACAATTGAGTATTTCACTGTGCTGGAGGTGGAACCTGCCAGGTGAGTGCTCTACACTGAGCCACATCCTCTGCTCATCCCTTGACATTGATATAGCCATACATGCCATAAAATTGGTGGCCCTGTAAATCTCAGCACCCTGAGAGGCTCAAGCAGGAGGACTGCAGTTTCCAACCCAGCCTGGGCAGCTCAATGGCTTGGCCAGAACCTGCTCCCCCACAAAGACGGAATATGTAGCTCAGTGTGAACCTCTGAGTTCAGTCTTCAGTACTGGGGGGAAAAGTGGCTAGCAGGTGATAGTCTGTAGGCGTTGTTTAAAGATGAGAGTTTTCCTCCATCTTGCTTTCTAGGAACTTGGCTGTATGGATTGTACTATTTAATGTGCATTTCTAACAAATAAGTTGCCCACGGCTTTTAGCTCTTCTAACTTGGTAGTAGATAAGCAATTGTACTGTGGCCTGTTTCCTTAGGAACCTGCGGGTTTTCCTGTCTTCCTCTTCCTCCACCAAGAAAATTTAGCTCCATTTGCTAATTTCAATTTGTAGGCACAGCTGTTATTTACATATCTGAAATCAGTGCTGCCAAATGATGTGTTCTTAAAAGCACCAGTATAGAATTTCTAGGGCCTAGACATTTTCTCAATTTAACTGCTCCCACAAAGCCTTGTCCTCCCGTGGAATTTTAAATGACTGTGAAAGTTTAGCAAAACTATAGATTATCTTGTTTACTTTGAGATTTTCTTCAAATTCCTTCACCAAGGTAACTCTAGACCCTTCTACCATTTACTACCATGAAATGTTAATGTGACACTCCTAGAAACTGTCATTAAGTATTCAAAATGAAAAACAAGATTCTCCACTTTCCCAAGTCATTTGTGTATCCACGAGTGAAATAAACTAACGCCCACCCCTGGCAGAAGCTGCTTTTGGTGAGGTTTGTGGGGATTCACAGATGAGCGAGGGACTTTTATTTCTTACTTTTTTCCCTTGGCTTTTTGTGTACAATACCATGTCTTACATGTTCACTGTGTGATTAGTTTGTCACATGCTGAGTTTCTTGTAGAAAAGGTGGCCCTTTTTAGCAGTAATTTGGGGTTAGTAAATTTGGGGCACCAGCAGGGTTTTAGCAGCTGGTTCATATAATCCCGGTAGAATGATAAGGGACAAGAACGCCCATGTGGAAGGACTGTCTAGGTGTTAAAGCAATTTCCAGTGACCCGATCTGTTGCTTTCTGAGTTTTAACTCTTACTACAACACAGAGAGGGAGGATGTGGTACGGTCTTGCTGTGATAGTAAGAATCTGCATAAAAATTGAACAGCAAGTAAATATTTCCTAGTAGGAGAAGTAAAAAAGAAAAAAGAAAAGAAAAGGACTGTCAGTGTCTTTATTTTGCTCTACCAGTTATCCCGATGAGGAACATTTGTTTGTCTTTTGGTTTACACAGGAGAATTTTTGTTTTCTTAAAGTTCTGGAGGCTGGAAGTTCCAGATCAAGGTGCCAGCCAGTTCAGTTGTGTAAGGAAGAATTATGACCCGTAGTTTCTGAAGTAGTTGTTAAAAGAATCTTGAAAAGCAATGAGGGTTTTAAGAAAGCTGGAGTTAAGGAAGAAGGAGTCCCATCAGGACCATTTGATTTCATTTGAGGAGGTTGTATGAATGAACGGATAATGTTTTTGTAGGAATTGCTGTGGTACCAGTTTTCATTTTGAAAGTGGGGGAAAACTCACCTTCACACAGACATCTGAGGTGTACACAGGAGAACATAAATTGCAAAGGGATTGATTCTTCACTTGTGCTCTGTTTTTGCCCTTCCTGCTGCCTTCACTTAGGCTTTTTGAGAATAAGTGAAAATGTTGTTGCTTGGAAAAACTTGAAAAGTACTGAGAGATAATCTTTAAAGTAGAGAAGGAATCCTCTATCAATTCTCGCGTGTTCTAGATTTTAATATACTTCCCTACGCAAATCATCTTTGGGGGGATGAGGCTACCTGTTTCTAAACTGCAACGTGGGCAAATAAGAGACTTCTGAGACATGAAACCCGGCGCCCCTGTGACTGCTGCCTGAGTAACTGCTGCCTATCAAGGGCCAACTGTGTTGGAAATGTTCAGCATTTTGTGCACTTATGAATCACTCACTCCACAGCAAGCCTGCAAGTACTGGTTTCTTATTCTATCCATGTTACATCATGAGAGTAAACCTCTCATGGCTTGGTAGCTTACCCAAGACTTCAGAGCTAGCAAGAAGCATAGCCGGGTAGGGTGGCATACGCTTTTAAACTCAGCATTCTGGGTGGTGGAGGCAGGGAGAGTGCAAGTTTGAGCCCAGAGGGGCAACTTTGGAGATCCTGTCTCAGAGAACAAAGGGGAAGGGATTTGCAGGGTATTGAGCTCAGTACAAAACCCTGAGTTCAGTCCTTGGGACTGAAGAAAGATACAGCAAAGACGTCGTCCTGATGCCTGTAGAGTGCCCGGGGGAAGGCCTTTCTCTGTGCTGGTGCTCCTTTCAGTCTTGGCGCGCACATTTTCACACGATGCAAAGCCAGGGAGAATGTCGATGACCACTCTGTGCTCCAGTGTGGACTTTTCCTCTGAGTTCAAATCCCAGTTAAACATCTCCTCCTGGAGGCTCTGTGATTAATGAGCTTTAGGACTAGGGAGTTGGGTGTGTTAGGATATAAGGGGTGGATTTAGAATGCAGAGAATTCCTGGAATAATTCCAGGACAATGCTACAAATGGGGGGGTAACCAACTCCAGATGTCACAGTAAGCCGCCCTTGTGTGCCTGGGGACAGAGAACCCTCGTTATTCCAAACCAAAAAAAAAAAAAAAAAAAAAAA